ATCCCTGCAAAGTCTCAGCTTTCTACCTTGCCTGGTTCGCGAAATCGTTTCCCGCCAACATATTTTCTTTTGGGGGAGGGGAGGCTCGTGCGCGGGGTCTAGGCGCGTATAAATTGAGGGTTTGAGAACCACAGGTGGGGCAACCAATCTTCTTCAACCACTCGTTCATTCGTTTCGATGGCAAATTGGTACTGGCATATGCCAGAGAGTCAAACCTGTCATTAGCTTGCTTGTGAGCAGCTCCCAAACGAAGAACTGCCGGCGACCTTGACATCCACTGGTTATTGTTGACATCTGCTACCACTCCTGGCGCCACAGGAGATGTATTTTAACTTTTGCTAGTATTTTGTGTTTTCGTTCTCCACATATTTTTGACGTATTTTACTTATTTTTAACATATTTTACTTACTTTAACGGGTTATTGCTTCGTCACCGCGTTTCTTTTCGCTATTGATGCGACTTGCAACTTCTTCATTCTTCTGCGTTTTGAACTTCTCCCATCCTCGAACGTTATTGAAATAATTATTTCAGAGCTGCTGAATTTTCAGGTTTGTCAACGAAGTTTGGGAAAATTGATATTTTACTTCAATGACATCGTTACTGCTGAACAGCAGTGAGAGTAGTGCGAGTGGTGTAGCGGCGACAAGTACCACACAATTTCTGACGTTCCCGTTTCGACGACGAAGGAAGCGCTATACGATTAACCCTCCCGACGACACCTATCATGTTGTATATCTTGGCAATGTTCTTACTCTCATCGCCAAAGGTTACCTTTATGTGATTTTTCGTTGGTTCTTAAAAATTTGCATATTTAGTAGAAAAAAAAATTTATGTATTTTTCAAAAATTTTTTCTGTCCAATTTTACCATGTAAATAAGTCAGTGAATCCTGAAAATTTTGGTATTTTTACTGACAAGATTGAGCACATTAATTGTGGGCAAATTTAACTTTTTTGAACTTCAGATCTTAAAATAACATAGTTTTCAACTGAAGCATATAAATGATTTTGCGCAGCGAATAAACTGTTTCTTTAAAAAATAATTTTATATTCTTACCATCACTAAAATAGGATCTCCAATACTGATTGTCCGGGCATTAATAGACCGATTTCATCCTGAAACGTTAGAATGAAGAGCATAAGAATTATAAATCGTATGTTTAATTGGCATATGAAAGGACCGATGGAGGGGGGGGGGGCAACCTGTGTTTCATCGCTTAGGGAGTACTAGTGACTTTTTACCACTTTATCAATTCCGCCAGTTTTGCTCCTACAAGTCGGCACTTTTAATCGTTTGTTAATTTATGGCAAATTGATGAGACCAAAAAACTTCAAATTTTTTAGTCGAGGAAAAATAGGCTTTTTTTGGGGCGAAAAAATCTTGCTCGCCCGAACGTGCTTGTCCTTCATAAGTTCATTTTTTATCGGAAAAAATGTGATGGGACGGTGATCTCTTTTCCCACACTACAGAAATAAATTTTCCCATTTTTCCTTGATGAAAAGAACTTTAAGTGTTGAAACATCGCATTTCATTAGGTTCCAACC